GTTTTTCAAGGCACTTTGTGACTTTTCTTACTTCATACACACACAAAAAAAAGTGTAAAATTCTGACAAAATCAGATTTCTTGATGATTTGATATTTTATAATAGTGATTTTATAAATTCCAAAATATAGAGAAAAGGTAGAAATTAATGACTAATATGCCAATAAGTGCTCCTCTGCTGGCGTCAACTGGTTATTAGGTGTGTGACGAGATCCGATGTGTCTCGCGAGATCTGATTGGTCTCATGAGAACGTGACGATATCCTCACGCAGACCTTTCAGATATATTTGCATTACACTGGCTCGTTCACAAGTGGTGGTATGTAAGATATTTTATGTTACATCAGGCAAGTGGCCGCATGACAAGCGGGAAAAATTACACAGTGTAGTCTTTATCCAGTCATAAAAACAGAATTCACAGTTTAATGCTGAATGTCACGGAATTTGTCAAATTTTGAATGAATTAATCAAAAGTAGGTCATTACACTTAAATCAAATCACGATATGGACTAGTATCTGTAAATATTAAGCCACAAACGTCGATTCAAATATGAATCCTGCATGTTCTGCCGGTCTCTGCTAATGAATGGCGCAGACGTGCGGTTTCATTTACTACACACACACACACATTAATTTTTTAAGGAATAAATCACACAAAACATTTCTTCTATGTTTTAATTTTAATAGTAAATCCCCTTAGTTTGCCAATAAATAACACTTAAATCAAATCACGATATGGACTAGTATCTGTAAATATTAAGCCGCAAACATCGATTCAAATATGAATCCTGCATGTTCTGCCGGTCTCTGCTAATGAATGGCGCAGACACGCGGTTTCATTTACTACACACACACACACATTAATTTTTTAAGGAATAAATCACACAAAACATTTCTTCTATGTTTTAATTTTAATAGTAAATCCCCTTAGTTTGCCAATAAATATTGTTTGCTTAATTTTCAATAATTAAAAGATAAATGATAAATTAAATTAATATTTTATGCCTTCATTTGACAACCAGAAAAATGTAAATACACAACACAGAATTTCTGATGAAAAAAAAAAATTAATAAGGTTACTTTAAGAAAAAAAAAAAATTTAAAGTTGTTTTATGCATTCAAATAATTAGACATGCTAAAACACAGAATTTGGTAACAATAAATAATATGGTGAGAAAAAATAAAACATTTCATAGTGCCCTAAACATGTAATTTTTGTTAAACTTTTAATAAATTGATGTGAAAATGTATACGTTTAATGATTTGAATTAATTAGACATGCTTTTTAATTAATACAATTTAATTTAACTATTAAAAAGGAGTCGAGAAAAATTTAAATGGAAAAAACGGAATTTGGAAAAAAATAAAACGGAATTTAGGAAAAAATAAAACGGATTTCATAGGGCCCTAACTATCCCTCAGCCTTGCCGCGCCCCCCAGTTTGGCATCCACTGCTTTTTTCTTTTAAATTGATACATTAATCGTGTTTATTATATATTTTTTTATTAAAGTGGAAATCAGTTTACTAAATAATGTAAACTTGACTGACTTTATATTATTTATAATTTTTGTGCAATTACTTGCCTGTCCGTTGAGTTTGTGGCAAAACATTTTGCAGTGTTAACATATTATTACTGCATACATTTTATTAAAATATATGTTTAATTTCATAAAGTACAAGTTGATTTCAAAATGCACCTACTTTTTTGCATTTTGTGTTTTTCAGTTGAATAAAAGACAAATTTCCCCTATATATTTCATCATTGAGGATTTCTTTAAAGAAGTCTAAAAATCTAGTCTCGTTCTGGTGAACCCAGTCTCCTGTCTCATCTCGTCTCGTGGGATAAGTGTCTCGTCACACCCCTACTGGTTATAATTGTGATTTGATGTTTGTTTACCACAAAGTATATTTTGGTCATCCCGTTAAAATTAACATTCAAACTGGATCATTTTAGAGATTTAAAGTGCTGGAAATAGTTGTGTGAAATGCTTGAAAGTCATTGAAAAGTGCTTGAATTGCTCTCTCAAAAGGTAGTACAAACCCTGAAATGAATGATGTAATGCATTCGACTATTTCTACCGCAACACCACGGTTACAGTTAGCGTTACCGCTTCCGGTTTCCTGAGGTATGTCAGCGCTGTTTATAACCGAGAATTCTGTGCAGAATTTGAATGATTCTCACTAGATCTCGCAGCGACCTTATCATTGTGCGGAGAATTCAAACGCTTCTCACTGGATCTCGCAGCACTGTTGCATCTGTGCAGTAACAGTGTCGCGAAATCAACTTTGTTTCAACTTAGTTTCGTTTGCCGTTTAATGTTTCTCAAATGCAACAGAAATGGCAGCACTTATGAGTTGGACAACGCGGTGGTCGCGCCAGTGCGACCGCTCACAAAAATTAGTCGCACCGGCAGAAAAAATGGTCGCAGTCTGGAGCCCTGCTCGATTAACGCTTGTCTGGGACAAGTAGATTTTTTAAAGGGGCAAGTGAGAGAGAATTTTACTCGCCCAACCGAAGCCTGATTAAAACGTCAATAACAAAAATAACTAAGGAAGAACTGAAACTTGGCCACCAAAACTTTTCGCGCGAGAATAATTCTGGTTTTATTGCATGCAGTGTAAACGGCGACTGATACTGTATTAATGTTGTGTCAGATGAGGCTCACGCAGCCTGAAGCCTGTGTTAAGTGAGTGCGAGAGAGAGATGGAAAGATGGAGCTTGTTGATACTGATTTCATTTGAATGATAACAACTCTACAGTTTCTTATTATTCTAAATGAATTAACTGAAACAAATGTAAGAAACTGATGTGAAAGATGACACATTTAATAAGATTAGTGGGAAAAAACAACATCTGTTTTGTTATACAGCAACTCATTTTCAGGTAATTGTTATTTCGATCTCTTTCCAGTCACAGAGCACTTTATTAATGTTGTTTAAGTGAGAGCATTTGTATTTTTTTGCATTGAAAAAAAAAAACAGTATCGATTTTTGTTTGTACATGTTGTAAATTATAGTTCTTAGAAAGAAAATCGGTATCGGCAGGTTACACTAACAAAAAATTTAAAATCGGAATCGGCCGAGAAAATTGCAATCGGTGCATCTCTAATATATATATTTATTAAAATGAATAAATATCATTTTTTATAATTATAATATCATAATATAAATAATAATATATATTATAATTTTAAATATAATAAATATATTTTACAAAAGGATCGTTTATAAAGTTATGATCATTTGAAGTCCCATTTTAAGGGTTAACCGCAAGCCTCACACCATGACAGCCTCTACGGATTGCATCATATGACCAGGTATGATCTGACTAGGCCCTCAAAGCCCTGCTACCTAGCAACAACACAACATGCTCTTATGGGGAGATCACTGAAGTTCTCTCTCATTCATGAGGAAACTTAGTGTCTGTGACATTGGTAGGTGTTAGAAAGGCAATAGGCAGATCCTTTAATGAGAACGATGCGTCACTTTCAGTGGGTGACCACTCAAAATATTTCCCACCATTGTGACCTATTCAGTACTGGTGAATACGATCACAGCTTCATTTTTCATTTTCAAGTTGTGTTTCACCGGTGTACTTTGTGATTATAATCCTGTCCAAATGTGTTTTTCCTCACACAACCTCAGTAAAATCTGAAGCAAATTAGAGATGTTTTTAGGCTTACTGCAGAGAGTCCAGTCACATCCAAAACAGTGCATAATACAACAGACGTTCATATTATTAACTGTAGTATTCAATTCAGAAAACAATTCACTTCAAATCACAACAATCTATTTTCAGTATAAGCATACTGTGTGTGTGTGTGTGTGTGTGTGTGATTTTGATCTAATTATGTTTCACTTCCTCAGTTTCAGTGAAGCATTGCATTTTCAGAACACATTTCACATCTCAGCATCCACAGCACTAACGGACTATTAAGTGGTTGATTTTATAGCCAGTGATTTGTAACTAATGTCTCAATACGGTTTTGAAATAAACAGCTTTTCATGTGTCAATCCTTGAAAAAATGTGTGCAATACTAATTTCTGAAATGAAGGTTGTGATGAAAATGTGTGTTCACCTGTTCATGGAGGCCCAGGAGTTGGCTGTAACGTACTCGACAATGCAAGACACCATTCACATGGATATTGTAAGCCTGCAGAAGGAAAAACAGTTATACATTATAAAAATAAACTCTGAATAGTTTGGAGTAAGATTTTTCATTTATTTTATTATTATCCGCTTGTTTTGTTTTTTAATACGTAAAATACGTGTGTTAACCAAGAATGCATTTATTTAATAAAAAATATAGTAAAAATAATGAAATATTATTACAATTTAAAATATCTGTTTTCTATTTGAACACATTTCAAAACATAATTTATTAATCCTGTGTTGGCAAAGCTGAATTGTCAGCAGGCATTACTCCAATCTTCAAAGTCCCATGATCCTTCAGAAATCATTCTAATATGCTGATATGATACTCGAGAAAAAAATATTATATAATAATTTCTCATATAAATTATTATACATTTTGAAAAGAGTTGTGCTTCTTAATATTTTTTGTGGAAACCATGATACATTTTTTCAAGATTCTTTGATGAATAGGAAGTTCAAAGAAACAGCAATTATTTGAAATAGATTTTATTAATTCAAAATGTCTTGCGGTCACTTTTGATGAGTTTAATGCATCTTTACTGAATTAAAGTATTAATTTCCTCTTTTTCAATGGTAGTGTACATAAAATAAAATAAACACTCAATATATATTCCTAAGTAATTTGAAAGGCCAATTAATAACCAGACACTGATTTTACTAGAAATAAAACCATATGCATTATAAAAAAAACAACAACAACAACAACAAAAACACTCTTTTTTTTTCCAACACAAAAATCAAGTTATTACATGGGAACAGGCTAATGATTTTAAAGTGAAACATTTTGACACTAAAATCAAAGACTGTGTCAATTGAGTACAATTGTGTCATCTTCTTATTTTAGCCATACCACAAAAGAACAAGACGTTTCTAAAGTGGTTATCCCTTACTGAGCCTGGAAACCAAGGCCATTCAGTTCACCATTTTCTTTTTCTCCCCAGAAGCTTTCCAGCTGTTGCTGATATTGCATCCATGCCAACAAATACAACCAGGAAGGCACAATAATCATATTTCGATATGCATGGATTCTTGCCACCATTTTTTGTCAAAGAAAAGTAAGCTTTTGGTTTTGAGGAACACCTTTTTGCACTATTGTCTGACCTCCTGATTTGTTGTTGTTTTGACTACTCATCATTTTGCACATGTTGAAAAGTAAGTGAGATACTGGACTATTACTTAAATTACAGAAAACAAGCAATGCTTAAACTAGACACAGATCAAAATGTGTCTAGGGGACTTTGATTTCAGAATGGAGAAACCAAATATGACGGGTGCCGTTTCAGAAACACAGGAAAAACATTTCTTAAGGCATTCTTGTGGGTCGTGGGGCGTTTAAAATCTGCAATCAAATCGAGTAATTCACATAAAATACTGAGCAGTTCTGACCCAAAAATGTTTTCTTTGTTTGACTTTGTTTCAGGAGGTCGTTGTGTAATGTTCTCCATCTTACTGTGGATACTATAAGAAGGTTTCATCAGACCTCACTGAATTCACATGCATTCAATGCTATTAAAAAGACTTCTGCAAATATGTACAGCATGCAATGACCCAATTATTGACAGCACGGCATGCAACCGCCACTACACAGCTAATACATGAGTCATCAAAGATATCAAAGCTAGAACAAGTCTACTGACAGAGGTAGGATGAAACTGCCATGCCTTTACTTGTCGTGAAATATATAAAAAAAGGAAGAATGAGTATGCAAGTCTTCAGGAAATGCAATACTTTTTTGCCCTTGTCTTTGAACAGGACGTCTGCCATTTAAATTGCAGCCCACTCATTTTTGTGGCTCTTTGGCAAAGTATGCATATTTGGTGACATGAACGGTTCCCAAAGCATATATGAAACTCCCAGCTGAATATAGTGTAAGACAAATTTAGAATAAGACGAATATAGAGTAAAACAACATTGTGCTTTAGATGTCTGAAGAAAACCACCTACAATTGAGAGTGAATGCAGAGAGGAACAAAGCGCTCTCTCTCAGGTTTTTAAATCAGTTTTATGTTTTTGAATGTCTCTTCTGCTAACAAAGGCGGCATTTATTTGATTAAAAATACAATACAAAATTGTGAAATAATATTATAATTTAAAATAACTGTTTTCTATTTGAATATATTGTCAAATGTAATTTATTTCTGTGATGCAAAGCTGAATTCTTAGCATCATTACTCCAGTCTTCAGTTGTGCTGCTTCATATTTTTGTGGACACCGTGATACATTTTATTTTTCTGGATTCCTTGATGAATAGAAATTTCAAAAGAACAGCATTTGTTTGAATATATTTAATATATAATAATAATCATAATATATAAACTCCAAACTTTTGAATGTCGGTGTATCATGGTTTCCACAAAATATGAAGCAGCACAACTGATTTCAACATTAACAATAATCAGAAATGTTTCTTGAGCAGCAAAGCAGCATATTAGACTAATTTCTGAAGGATCATGTGACACTGAAGACTGGAGTAATGATGGTGAAAATTCAACTTTGCATCACAAAAATAAATTACATATTAAAATAGGTTCACACAGAAAACAGTTATTTTAAATAATATTTCACAATGCTTACTGTTTTTTTTTTATCAAGTAAATACCTTGCTGAACAGAAGAGACATTCAAAAGCAAAACAAAAAAAATTTCCCAATCCCCCTCTTGACCAGTAACCGGGTGAACCTATTCATGCAAAATCTGTTTAAATTATGCAAAACAATAAATATCTTATGAACAAAAGTGAAGCAAAAATATAAAAGCAGTAAAAAGTCAGTGTGATTCATACATCTGACCAATTTATATCTTAGTGTCCTTGAAAGATTTATCTATTGAGAACGTCACTGGCGATCTGTGATGGAGAAATTCTCTTTGAATCACAGTCACAGATGGACACAAACAATGTGGAGCTCATAAATAATCTCAGCCCTTATTCAAATCATTTGGTGGCTAAGGAGAGTCAACACCACAGGCTGCACATCTGCAGACACCTACGAGAAAGGATTCAGGCAAAATATGCTTTGTAATCAATCCATAGTTCACTGCAATACAGACGTAACCTCAGGAGCCAAACTGAAGCTGTCTGTTATTGATAGGCTCTACTCGCTGTTTCATAGACAAATGAAGTGTCATGTCTTCATAGTGAGCCAGCTTTGTTTCCAGTTAGGCTGGATAACTGTTATGCTGAAAGAAATGGCAATCTTGCACTGCATATGGCTGTGGGAGAGATGCCAGAAGAACTGAGGCACTGTGAATCTAATTCACACAACAACAACTTTAGAAGATGCTAGATGGAGTTTATGAACATCCATTAGCAAAGCTTCCTGATCTGATTCCACCTTCAGTCATTTTTGTTGCCTTTTAATAAGCCGTAAAGGGACACACATAAAATCTTGCAATTTTAAGACTGTAATTAAATCAAATAAACTGAAATGTAAAATAAGATTGAAATTAAAATGACAAATTATGTACATATTTTTAAGAAATATTAGCCATACTCTTACAATAGATGTATGAATATTCATATCTATTCCATATTCATATTTAGTAGTTAGGTTTTAGTTTTTTGAATCCGTTCACTATTCATCTTTGTTTACTGAATCGTTATTCTTATCCTGTCAGATTGCGTTGAGGGTAATAAGTGAATCATTCAATCACTCACTCAACCAATTCGTTTATTAAAAACCTAGTATTTCAAGATTAAAACGAGTCTTCAGTCATTCTTGAGACGTGGGACAAAACCGGCCCAGCAAGGGTAACTGCTATTAGCTTTAAAAACTTAGATATTTAGATAATTTTATTCTCCTGAAGCAGGTTCCATTAGCATCTAACATCAACAGAAAAAAATTAAATGGCTACTTCATGAACTCCACTGGTTTTGTGAAAGAAATGCCAAATTTGTCAACACTGTCAGATGTCACCACCATAAGATTTTGTGTTCCAATGATATATCAAAATTAGGGCTGCACGATAAATCGCATGCGATATTTAACGCGCATCTTGTCAGAAAGCCGGTTCTGTAATCAGCGGTAAATCTCCATCACGTGGTTGCTTTCACATTGACCAGCATTAACTACACAGAGCTGTTGTTCACTGACGAGCTGCGACAAAAATCGCGCGAATATGAACGTGGTTTTGCGCAGCTAGTCAGTGAACAACGGCTCTGTGTAGTTAATGCTGCTCAATGTGAAAGCACGCACGTGATGGAGATTTACCGCTGATTACCGAACGGCTTTACTGACAAGATGCGCGTTAAATATCGCATGCGATTTATCGTGCAGCCCTAATCAAAATACTTAAATGTGACTCTTGAATAAATGTCACATTTATTCAAGATGTGTCAACTCCATCAGTTTTGTCACCTCCGTCAGTTGAATATTTTGATAATATTTCATTTTGATATTTTATATTTGTTGTGGAATTGTTGGTCACATGTGAAAGTGTAATCTGTCTGCTAACAGGAGAATGTGTTTTGAAATGTTAAAAAGATCTTGAATGCTGTTAAAGATAAAGCTGAAATTATATTACACAGTCCAAGGTAAAAAAGCACATTTTGTTAAAAACGAGAAAAGTTGGGAGGTTGTATCAAAGCATAGCTCAGTAGCTTAGTACATAAGATACATACAGGTGCGTATCAATAAATTAGAATGGCGTGGAAAAGATAATTTATTTCAGTAATTCAACTCAAATTGTGAAACTCGTGTATTAAATAAATTCAATGCACACAGACTGAAGTAGTTTAAGTCTTTGGTTCTTTTAATTGTGATGATTTTGGCTCACATTTAACAAAAACCCACCAATTCACTATCTCAACAAATTAGAATATGGTGACATGCCAATTAGCTAATCAACTCAAAACACCTGCAAAGGTTTCCTTCTATTGTGTTTTTTGAAAACCAACGTCACTGCACCCGTTTACCAAGAAATTTTGGAGCACTTCGTGCTTCCTTCTGCTGACCAGCTTTTTGAATATGCTGATTTCATTTTCCAGCAGGATTTGGCACCTGCCCACACTGCCAAAAGCACCAAAAGTTGGTTAAATGACCATGGTGTTGGTGTGCTTGACTGGCCAGCAAACTCACCAGACCTGAACCCCATAGAGAATCTATGGGGTATTGTCAAGAGGAAAATGAGCTGAAGGCCACTGTCAAAGAAACCTGGTCTTCCATACCACCTCAGCAGTGCCACAAACTGATCACCTCCATCCCATGCCAAATTGAGGCAGTAATTAAAGCAAAAGGAGACCCTACCAAGTATTGAGTACATGTACAGTAAATGAACATACTTTCCAGAAGGCCAACAATTCACAAAAAAATTTTTTTTATTGGTCTTATGAAGTATTCTAATTTGTTGAGATAGTGAATTGGTGGGTTTTTGTTAAATGTGGGCCAAAATCATCACAATTAAAAGAACCAAAGACTTAAACTACTTCAGTCTGTGTGCATTGCATTTATTTAATACACGAGTTTCACAATTTGAGTTGAATTACTGAAATAAATGAACTTTTCCACGACATTCTAATTTATTGAGATGCACCTGTACATGTAGTCTCAATTTATCGGAGTACAAGGTTTTATTTTTTCAATTTTGCACCCTGTTTTGTCCCACTTCTCAAGAATGACTGTTTTATTAGAAACTAGATTTCTACAAATCTAGTAAGAGACTCCAGAAAGAGTGTTTAAGTATTACAAGCATTTTACCCTCAAATGGAAACAAAGTACATCTATAATTTACCTCCATTTTGTCAACTGTGAAGGATTTTAAAAGAAGACAGCCAATAGCCTAAATGAACTAAGAAATTACGTCCATCTGTCATTTTAATATATTCAGAATTCTTCCGCATCTTTCTCTTCTTGTTGTGGACGAGACTGTGACTCATACGACGATCTGGATGAACGGACATGTTCCCTCAAATTCCGTCAGTCAGCGAAAGATTCATTCACTGAAAAGATTGGTTCACAACAGAGATTCAAAGCACCACTATTCTACAGGCAGCGTCTCCGAATGGAAAAGCTAGGCGCATCGCTTATTTGACCTCCACCACACTTACCACATAAGTCGATCCATTTTCATCGGAGCGAACCTCCGTCTCGGGGATGGAGAAATGCATTGTCTACTGTAAGATCACAAGTCTTTGACCGAGATGAAGATGCTGTTAAAAGCGAGAGTGTTCACGGAAAGCCCTCGGTGTTGGTCTGCTGTCATGCAGGGACCAAACTGAATCACGGCGAGCTACACTCGCTCCGATTCCCGGTGTAGTCCAGTCCAGTCCAGTCCAGTCCAGAGCTACGACAGGAAAGTTCTTTTCTTGCGACGTGGATTATTTTAAAAACTTTCTTAATGTTCAGGGCTGAACTTTTCCAATAAACATCTAAGCAGCAGCCATGTTGCAACTGGAGGTAATTCCACGTTCATTGTCGGCAATGTATCGCTAAATCGGTCCTCTCGCTTCCTCGCGCACTGTAAAAGAATGTGGGAGTCGAGTCTGCAAAACACAAAGTGCCGTCGCAAGGCCCACGATCCAATTCACTTTCAGATTACTCCACGTAAAGGTGCTCCGCGGCTGTCTGCAGCCCCCGTTTCTACCTACATTGGTACATACGACCGAGTATGGAGAGGAAACAAATGAAGAAACTGTTTGTCGCAGCATGCATTTCGAGATACCGATACTGTGCTCCAACTTGTTAAGGCGTTAAGAAGAACACACATCCGTCTGCATTGTAGCGAAACCTTCCAGCGCTATAGATGAAGCCTCTCTGCTGTAATGTATTCAATATGTATCTGCGCTCTCCCGAAGCGTTGCAACAGTCTGGATCAAACCATTCCTCCAGAGCG